GTATGTATGTATGTATGTACATATGTACATATGTACATATGTATGTGTGTATGCGTGCACGCATGCATGCTGCTGTGTGCGTATGAGCTGATGAGGGAATGAATAAATGAAATAATGACATCATGAAGAATGAGTGAATTGCCACATGAAGAAACAAGAGTGTGCTTGCGCGTGGGTGTATATATATATATGTATGCACGACGATCGTATGCCTGAGGTATGTATAATCTGTGCATGCATATGTGTCTGAACATGAATAGGTGTGCCGATGGAGTTTTGCATGCATGCTTGTACTCGTATGTTGTACGTGTTCACATGTTGTTAAACAGATGTCTACATGCACAGTATGCATCATACCCACACCCACACACACATACATACATACATACATACATACATACGTACATGCATACATACTTGTGGACACGTATGCTAGGCACATGTGGATGCGGACGATGTGTGCATGGGTATACAAATGCAAATCAACAATCATACGTATATCCAGGGTCTAGTGGGAGAAAGTGAACTATGCACCCAGCAGTTTGTTTTTCTCGTTCTTAGATACATTGCACTGTCCCTGCCTACATCACGAAGCTTGGTTGCTGCACGCACGGACGGCTGGCCATCTGGGGCCGCAGCCTTACGCAGTAGCCACTTCGCCCTGTGAGGCCGTAGAGGAGATCTCCTCAGGCGCATATCTGACAATTACGGCCAAACAGACCTCCATGATGCTGGCAGCTGTACACTAATGATGGCACGACGATGATACCGCGCATGCTTCAGGCCATCGTCCTAGTGCACTCTGGTCCCAAGCTACTGCTAATACAACAGCGGTGCTTACTATAGTTCATGCTAGTTCTGACAGGCATGATCCTGGAAACAATGTTTGGTATACCGTGCGAATATGACACCACAATGCAAACACCGCATTCGTCACCGCAAGAAGTCCGTTCTGGATTCGGGAGTGATTCGTAAGGCATTTACGGTTAACCCTGGAAACAGTCTCAAGTGCTCATTTCTTCAGATGCCTTAGCACGCTCATCGAGAGCAACCGTGGGTGAAACGGCCAGCCCAAGCAGGTGTAGGAGGGAACTTCGCATCCGGTGTAATGAACCCCAAATGTTCAGGATACATGCCAGGACCCGTAAAAGCACAAACCTCGGACGGGAATTCGGAGAGTCAAGCTGTGCGTTGGAGGCTTTGGGGCCAAGCGGGGTAGAAATTCGAAACCCCCAAACCCAGAATCTTTCACACAAGGCATGTGCAACCAGCTCTTTCGTCTTGGAAGCTCCCAGTTGTCTACGTAGTTTGCCCTTTCTGGGGTTCCCGGCACTTGACTATCAGGCCCTTGAGAGTTGGAGACCCTGCAAGGCCTCCAAAGCCTACTTCGAGTCCCTAAATGGTCTAGATTTTTTTTAATAGGGCCCCAGACTCTTAAATCGAGTAAACCCATATAGACCCTGAGCCCTAAACAAGCCCTACACCCTTGGAGTATGTGACAGGCCCCGGACATCTGCTTGAGCAGAAGCTCTTGCCAGGAAGCCCCTTCTAAGAGTCGAAACAAAGTTCTGATATTATATGTTGTAACATAAGAGACTACAAAATAACAAAAACAGGTGAAATAACATAGTAGGCTATAGTAGAAAACAAAAGACAGAACCGAATAGAACAAAACAAAAATAGCTTAGAATAGCATGCGATGAAGTATATCAGATAGTATAAATGTAATAAAAGAACATACAACATGTTTATACAGCAAATCCTATAAGATCTTTTCTATTTCACATAAACTGAAGATTACAAAACCATCTAGCCTATCATTGATCATATAAAGTCTACGATACAAAAATTAGCATACTATGATATAACAAAGTAGAATATAATATAAATTGCTATAACAACATGTAGCATAATGAAGCATAGTACATAGTATATAGTTTGCAATATATGCTGTAATATATTTATATATGTATATACGTGCATACATGATAAACAAGATATAACAGTATAATATGAACACACACATGTATATATATATGTATATATATATATAAACTGCAACGCCTATTTTTGACACCTAATGAACAACATGTAGTATAAAATGCAAATCATAAACTAGTTTATCCGTCACGCATAATAAGTGATATTCTGCATGCACATGTGTGTATATATATATATACATATATATATATATAGATATGGATAATGCTATACCAGTATAGTATGTATTATGTAACCTATAGACAACTGAAAACTTGATCAACCATTCATTGCTACTACAGCAGTATCACTGTAGACAGTTTGCCCTCTTGTGCAGCTTGTGCGGGTTACATCCTTACATGCGAATGGCCACGTGGATTTGAAATTCGTCCTGATTCCGGGCTTCATGTTCGTGCAAGCAACACGCTTTGGGGCCGGGCCTCCCTCGGTAAACGAGCTCCAGTTGCAGACGTGAGTCAGCCGAGCCAGTGTACTTACAAGTCGCGGCCGAAATCGGTTGAAGCACTACATTTCGGTGTCTCCCTAACTCAGCCTTACTTTATGAGACAATGAAGTAAAACCATACTACAACAAGTTAACACTCTGAGACGAAGCCGCCCGAAGTTGAACAAGATCTAGGCACCTTCGGCCTCGCCGTTGAAGCTCTCACACAGCTTCAACGGAGTAAGAGCCCTTTCTTGATCCCTGACTCTGCAGATTCCAATTTTGGGAATCTGTGGAAACTCCCCGGCTGCCCTGAACAAGCCCTACCTTTGGGTAGTTCTCTTAACTAGGGTCCCCTTTTAGGTCCCCAATAAAAAAACGGCACCCTTGTTACAAAGGACCCTAAAAGGGGGCCCTAATTTAGAGAACTAACCATATGGCTTTGGTAGCCAGTTGACACGCGAGGACCTGACTTTTTTGGGGAAAAGGGGTTCTTTCTTATGAGGATCCTGTTGTGGGATCGTCTTGCTCTGAGGGCTTTTTAATCATGCCGTTTGTTTAGGGTCGCCCACACCCTAGGGCCTTTAAAAATTCGGGCGCGGCTATGGACTCTATGGGGTTTAGAGACATCGCTACTCAAGGGATGTCAAGATTCCAAGGTCATGGAGACGCCCGAAACAGCAACTTCTGAGGTGTTCGATTCGACGCCATGGTCTGTGCTATCGTTTGGAACCTTTCTGGAAAGCAAGACTGAAAGTAGACCATGAAATATTATGCAATGTAGCCCATCCCAACAGCATAAACTTCAAGCCCAGATGCCTGCAGCATCTCTCAGAAAGCCCTGGCTGCTACACCCATGTCTGCAGTTGGATGGAGGACCAGGTCCGCTCACCAGTCTGGAGAATCTAATGACAGAGGCCATCCTTTGGCCCTCAACTCCTCGGCATCTCGATCCAGAACCTCACAAGACATGGCACCAAGAGGCTTCAAAGCCCCGGAAGAACAGGAACCGACGTAGCCCGCAAGCTATTCAATCGCTCCTTGAGGGGAGGTTTGAGAGGCCCATGACCAAGCCGGACGTCTGCTCGACAAGGCACGAGGCTTCCCATCTACGCGAATGCGCCTATGCCTACGTTTCTTGAGACAGCAGATCTGCGAGAATGAATAAAACGGTTGCCAACATACTAGTCGCCTGCTGCAGATGGTCGCTTTGACTGAGCAAAGGTCATTATTTGTCTTAGTGGTCGTGCGTTCACCGTCTGACTGACGGCACACGGCACTAGACAGGGTTTACTATTTTACCCATGCTAAGCAGAAGTATGCCAAGCAGACTTGCTTCGCCCCGGATGCTGAGTGCCGGATGCTTCGAACAAACCAGCAGATACATCTGCCTCAAGCTTGTCTGAGTTCCCATCTTTCGACTGTACCTAAGAAGCCCAAGGCTGAACCCATGCCTCCTGGGTGGCAGCTTCCCGATAGATTTTGCGCCTGTGGGCGGCCCGGATTGATTCAGGGCAGTGCTTTGTGTGCGTAGCTTTGTGCTGTCAAACCTTAAACTTTGAGTTTGTTCGGGGTCCACGAGCTCCGAGACGTCTTTCGGAGAAGAAGTAGCTAATCCAACATGGCGCGGATGGTTTTCGAAAATGCACTCGCTGAAGGCGGGCCTGACAACGGCTTGAGCCACCCCACCCAATACACCCTGACACCTGGCATCGAAGCCTCTAATGCCCCACACCCACCAACAGGAAGGCGATGCTTTCACAACTTCTCGTGCCGGGTTTCGGGCTTCGACCAATATGAATACGACAGTGCCAATCTTCAGTCCACTCCCCCATATCGCCAAGTGAGACTCCAAGCTACAAGCCGACACCCTTTATGCAGGTCTGCATGCAGAGTACTACAGAACTGCAATATTCGTAGCTAGACAGCAGGCCACATGTAATGCGTATTATAGTTTAATATAGTATATTATATAGTTTATTATAGTATAAAATGCTATAATAACATAACAGAGCCCAAGTTGAGACCATGGAACACTCACCACAACCACCTGCCACACTGCGAACCAAACCATTCTGATTCGCAGATAGTCTACGAGTCAGAATATGACAACAAGGATCCCATGCACGAACTCTCTCTTCGCGCGGTTGGAGGGACACAGGTGTTGAATCGTTATGCAACAATACCAAAGAAACTTTCGCATCTCCTTCTGACAACCAGCCTCACCGTTAAAATCTACTCCACCACCGTCATACTACCGCCATGGTCAGGACGATCGCGTGGCGACTCGACCTGAAGGTGAAAATCCTGCTGGACCCGGCGGCCATGATATGGCTCCGTAATCGTGACGATGGTGATGACGCGGGTGTGGGGTTGGAGGCCGTCATCACCATGAACACCCTGGTCCAAGCATCAGAGGTTCTACTTTGCCATTGCAGGAGGCCGTTGTGACGATGAAGGCAGGTGGGAAGCTGATGATTCTGAAGAAGGCGGTGGCGGTGACGTGCAATCGCTTAGGGTTGAGCAGTCCCGGTTCCTAACGAAACTCAATGTCTCTAAACACTTATAAGCCCTTACTAGTACTTGGCGAGCCACTGCAGGCTGTCAGCATCCAAGGCAGTTTCATCGAAGGCCCAGTCGACGTGGCCGCTTGCCAGAGGCTCCTCCTGAAGAGCACAGAAGCGGTTTGAGTTTAGGGTCTCACGGCCAAACCAACAGCCCATGCCTTTGTTCTGACATCCTCAAGTTCTAAGTTGCTATAGAACTTGATGCACCCAATGTTCTGGGCTTACTTGAGTGCGCGACTCTTTGCGTACAAGTACACGCAGTGTCTGCCTCCTCGTCGTGGTGGTCCTCCAGGTAAGCGTGCCGCAGGGCATCGTGGGCCGTGAGACGCTTGTTCCTCAAAGCCCCAAACCCTAAGCCCCTGTAAAGGAGCCGCAAGTTTGAGAAATCCCCATGGAGAACTCGAGACCTCGATCTTCGCATGCTTTCATTCGGGCATGGGTGAAGCTTGAGGTGGAGGCTCAGGGGGAGCCTTAATATGAGGTCTCGAGATTTTCGGCGTTGCTCGTGTCCAGACATCTGGAGTTTCTTACTCCTTTTTCAGCATGGGCTTGGATTGTAGGAAACTCTGACGACACCCTACATATGCTGGAGCTGGAAGTTTCGGCTGCATCTTTACGGTGGCTGGATTAGATAGGCTTCGTGAAAGCTTCGGCACTAACAGGTTCTACAACCGAGTCTAGGAACACATTAGCCATGATGTCAGTGCCAGCATTGATTTTCCCTAAACCCCAAACCCGTGATTTTTCAACACCCGGTACAACCTGTACCGGTTTGTACCGGACCACCGCTCCGGTATCCAAGATTCTAAGAAAAGACTCCTTAGGGTTTAGGGTTGTACCGGTTGCACCGGTTTGTACCGGGGCCAAGGCCTGCACCTGGATCCTTGTGGTGGAGTTCACCCAACCACAAAATGGTAGATCCAGGGGGGTACCATATGTACATACATATATGTATGTATATATATATATACACAAAGAGATATACTTATTTATACATACATATGTATATATATATATGTACAAATAAGGATGCCAACAAGCCCACTGGCGCAAAGGTGCGGGTCGAACTGAAGAAGCCTGTCGAGGAGGTCACACTGGGTGTCCTTGGATCGCGGATTAGAGTGGCTTTGGCTGCTTCGGGGTTTCAGGGCTTTGCATTTAGGGTTCTTCAATGGCTTTGGGGCTTGTGTGGGCCGAGACACCTAGCAGGATTCTGTGGTGGCAAGTTCAAAGCTTAGGGGGATTACGGATTGAGTTATGTTCCACGGTGTGCAGGCCAGAAGCTTGTGGTGTTTTCGCTTTAGCCATAGGCCCCTAGGTAGTTCCTTTTTGTGGTTTAGTTTTAGAATCCTATAAGGTAGTCCCAAAAAGGAACTACTTAGGGGCCTATGGGTAGCCATACATGCTAAACTGCCAAATGAAACTGTTCGGACAATTCAAATCCGACAGCTAGAGACAGGGCTTCCCATCGGCTGCTAGCTCCGCTTGGCTAACTAGCCCCCTATCTTGTTCCAGCACCTGCAACTAAGAACTAGTTCTGAAAACCGGGCTGGCGTAGATTGGTCGCAGACCCATCTCCCATCTCTTTCAGAGTGAATCTGAGTCACACGCCCGGCTACTCGGAGCTTGTTGCAGGGAGAGCCGGAGCAATGGAGGCATTCAAAATCCATAAGGAAGGGCGAAGGAAGTCAGAAACGACACGTGGATTCCCCAATTCAGCAAAGATGCAGACGCATGCGGGAACATCGCCTTCCAGTTCCTTGAGCACAGGCGACTCTCTCCCTTCAAATTTCGAGTCGACACCCCGCGACTTCGACATCTTCTAGGACTTCTCGACCAATAAGCCCACCGAAGCTCAACTGTGGGCGTGCCGGCTCAGGAGCACCAAAAGCAACTGGGGAAGCGATCGCTTTACCTTTCCGAACATCCCGCTTGGGGGTTCATTGTGGTTGAAGATTTCTCAGGTTCAAAGTAAACCCTAGACCCTAAATTAAGCCCTAAACCCTAAATTAAACCCTAAACCCTATGTAATGCCTCCCAGATTCTGGCGCGGGAGACCCGGATACTTGGTTCTCAGGAAGTTCCTGGCCGCCTGGTTCTCCTCCTTGGCTGACTGACGTTACTAATCCTTAGTAGGGTTACTACTAGTAACTTACTAGTACTTCGAAATTATTAATATTACGACTCACATGATTGTTTCTACTCTTATTAAGTACTGTTATGATAAAAGAAGGCAAGAGTGATGAATAATCGAGTCCACAACGACTTGAGTTCCAAAACAGTTCACGAGATGCCTTTCATGACTCCGCATGAGGCTTCATGCGCAACAGAATCCTATCTCCGAAACTCTTCCTTTGGGTCTCTTTCTTGCTACATCGGGTGAATCCTTCAGCACACCTCCCTGAACTCTGAACGGGCCTGCTCTGCTACATCGAAAAGAGGGGGAGACTTTGGCCTCACGCGAGGGGGCGGCCTGCTGTGGCAGGCGCAAAAATGTTCAGCTCCGGAACTCACAGACGGTGCACCTCATGCACGTAGTTTCAGCCCCCATCTTTTATTTAGCCCAGAAAATGCCTCACTCCGACATGCCGAGGCACTGGTATGAAGGAGAGTTCGGACTCCTCTCCAATCCGGGGGTTTAAGTACCCACGCAGTTGTACAGGCCCGTGCCAAGTGCCAAGCAGTCGAACTTTTGATGTGAGAATCTCTCTGCAGGCTTGCGGACATATTAATTCTCAACCCCGTTCCTACGCCGCTCGCCCTCTACAGCTTTCGCGATAACTGCATAGCCTCCGGGGTTCCCACGATGGCGCAAATGGACCGCAGCCTCAGCAAGATATCCAATGGAACTTGCGCGAACACTCCTGCAACTACTCACCCGACGCAGGGGCCGGAAATCGATTCAACTGTCGAGCCACTACAGTAATCGTTACTGCTTTGTATCCGGATGCCCGCTTGTAGTCGTAGTCCTTTTAAACTGCCAACTCGTTATCCCTGCAACCTACGACCAGACACACTGGCCGGCAAACCCTCCTCCCTAAACCCTAAACCCTATAAACCCTATGAGCCCTATAAGCTCCAGACCCTACAACCTCTAAACCCTAAACCCTGTAAACCCTATACCCTACAAACCCTATAAACCCTATAAGCCCTATAAGCCCTATAAGCCCTAAACGGTGCCTCCGATCAGCGAGCCAAGCGACTGGTCTAAGAAGTCCGCCCCACGGAACATGGGTGCCCGACTAATGAGCTCTCCGAGGATGCATCCTTCCCGGCATTTTTTGGCTTCGACGTCGATTTTGGGAGGCAGAATAGGTGTAATTCTATATGGAGTTTGACTGCCATGCTCTCTTTTGTTTATGGTTTTCAAGATGTTTCAAGGCTTGGGACACATGGTCGAGGGTTAGGTTGTCAAGGATCCAGCTGTGAGCATTGGGGTTCAGGCTGCTCCAGCTCGCATCGAGTGTGAGGGGCTACAAATGGGGGTTTCCGAAAATTGGGAACTCTAATATAGTACCCTAAATAGTAGGTCTCTTTTAAGGACTCCAAAATAAGGTGCCCTAATTTTCGGAAAGTCCCAAATGGCTACGAGATGCTGCGAGTATCTGCTAAAGGTGGGCGGTTTTGCGTACCGTCAAGCTTCTTTCTGGAGCTACCATTGCTTCGGGCTTAGGGCTACGTCTGTTGACGTTTGTGCAATACCCTGCCGCAACAACCTGGGGAAATTCAACTCCTTTGCCACGAAGCCCGAAGACCTTATGCTGGAAGACTCAGAAGAGCGACGACATGCGACGGCGGTGAGACAAGAATAGACGCAACACAGCAAAGCTGACAGAGAGCACACAGGTCTTGTTCGAAGCTATCACTAGGCGGCCAAGAAGCCCTCAGTCGTGAGGCACTGCATACCGTCACATGATCTCTGTGTACACACAGATATCGTCCTTCCTATTGATCATATGCGCCAGCCCGACACCGACAGACCTCATAGATAGCAGTACCGAAATCTCCCAAGCCTGCGCTCCACATGTCTACAGCCGCCGTGTACTCCCTGGAGGTGAGGATAACCTCCCAGCGGAGCAATCAAAGGAACCGAAGTGCCAAATCGAAGAGGACACTCCTGGACTGCAGTTCCATCACAGAGAACCCTGTTGTGGTTCTGACCCTGTACACATACATCCCCAATTGTTAAGCGAAGCCCCTGGCAATGTAAGCTGCGACTACACCCCTTCAAGTACTAAATCAGTTCGTGGATTGTGGTCGTCGAACTATAGGGTTTTAGTATGCCCACGGCCAAAACAAGACAAGGGCCACTTGGGTCGCTTAAGTTAATGTCTTGCAGAATGTAGGCAAATCTTAGATCTTATATAACTGACTCTATGATGATAGATTGCCCCTATACTTTTTTTTGCTCTCACCGCAAATACCCGCAATCACAATCAAACCCTCGTCGCTTTGTTCTGCTATTCTTGCTGCACAAGTGAGTTTCTTGGCAAACGCCGCCTCCGGCGCTCTATACCAGCGGGTGCCCACGTACTCCGTCCGGAGCCAGGTGTCATCGTCCTGGTCGAAGCCCGCCCGTCCTCGATGGAGTGCATTGGGAAATTGCCGCGTCAGGGTGTCTACGATCGGACCGCGTCTGGGATTTAGGATATATGCTGGGGCATGAGAGGTGACGGATGCAGGAATGCAAGACTAGGTCAGTGACTAGGTGGCAAATGGTCCAATCGGGTGCGAGGCTTTCTGGAGCTCCGATGGCATGACGCTGGCTGTGTACTGCTTCTGAGCTTGGCATTGCAACCTCCTCAAATGTTCAACCGAACACAGTCCTTCCTAAACCGCACACAGCCTGGCAAATGTTAAGGTGTGGTGGCGCAGCAGGGTTTCCACTACAGCACAGGAAGTTCAAGATGTGTCGAACAAGGGAATCCCGGAAGCCAGACATCTGAAAACTGATCATCATTATTCTGCTATCATTGCTCTCGGAAGGATAAACGTTCGTTGATGCCACAGTCACAGCTATTGCTCGCGACATCAACATACTGCTACTACCAGTGGTGCCACTGCCTAGTGGAAAGCCGGAAGCCGAATCCTGACACGCAGGACAATTCTCTTGCGGTTTCCAGCGGCCTCTGGCGAGACCGAAATCGCAAAGCCTGCCATGTTCAAACACCACAGTCAGCATACGTACAAGGATGCATACATTTAGCAGTCGCACTAGAAGCTCAGGCGAGGTTTAGGGCGGAAAGCAGAAAGCGGGAGGCACTCATCACGAGCAAATGCATACATACATGCATCTTATACATACATACCCACGGCCTACACCCCCACGACCGAAGACAAACCCCAAATCAATACATCCGGAGGGAAGCAGCGTTCCATTCTGAGATGCGGTCAATGCAGAGGCCTATGTAAGGATAAACATTGAAACAGGCTGCTCATAATGCAGAAGGATTGTTTGAACCTGGGTTGTTTGCTCCTAGCTGCTTAGGAGGCTAAACCACGACCTCTGTACTGCCAACCGAGGCACTTGATGTCACAGTTCTTGTTTACCTGAGCGACGCTGTGCTTGGTTCAGAGATGCTCTCGTCTCCTGGCTGCTAGCTGCAGACCAAGCATTTACTCAACGTAGCTGAGTCCACGATGACCGCTGCAGCGTCACAGCTCTGTGCAGCCACTCTAGGCCCAGAAGACCGGTATCGTTGGTCGGCACTCACCATGGTACAGCAGGCTAAAAGCAACCGCTCTAACCAACAACTCTGGCCCTCCACTTCGTGGATCTTGATGTCAAGGCGAATGCTTCGGAAACAGGGTCCATACCACTAGCAAGCCGAGCTTGGGGATGTTGTCCGGTTGAGCCTGGAGAGAGCCTTCTCAAGACTGAAAGGGGTAACGTTCAGGCTTTCAGCTTCCCAAATCGGATCTCGAAGCGCTGGAACAACCCCCGATCCCGACATCACACAAAAAGCAATCCCAGACCTCAAGCCCGAAATCTACAGCCAGTGTGTGGCCCGAATCCAGACCCCAAACACTCATAACCGGCAGCCAAAACACCAGAACATTCAGAGGCTTCAGATCCCTGTGCACCACATTGGCAGAATGCAAGTACCTTGGTCTCAAGGGAAGCTCATAAACGCACCAACTCACCCCCTGAAATGGTACTCTCTTCCTACTGTGAATACTCTAGAAAGTTGTGGTTTCAAAACTCCAGATATCTGACTATCGCTTCTGTTGCTTGTCTCTGCCAGTAATGTAACTCTTTGGTGATATGCTTCTTGTTGAGAAGCGGCTCTGAGGCTGAGTGCAGCCTTTCCGGAATACTAGTCACAAAGACGGGCACATATTTAGGCCCCATGGACTCGGACCCTTTGCTGAGCCAGAGCGGAGGACGTGCTGACTGTCACAACTAATATAAGGGCCTTAATAAGTAGATTTTTTCCCTCGGGCATGGCAAGGATCATAACCAGAATAGGGGTTGGGGTACCTTATAGTATAACTAACATGAGGAACCCCAGGAATAACACTGGTACTTCTTTGGGCTTCTATATTAGAGACTACCGGTTGAAGTAGGCGCCATGTCCTTTTCAACTGCTGCAGCAACCATGGCCGGCGGCAACAGTGGAAGCGCAAGCACATGCTTCTTCGGAACGACAGGCTAACACATTTTTTTTAGACCAGACATATCATAAGGACGACAGCTGAACTCTGCAAGCACCCAAGCGCCAAAATCGCAGCAGCGACACGGCAACAAGGCACTCCTCATGATCCCTCTTGCGCATATGTTGACTTTTGTTGAATCCACCCCTTTCCCTTTGCTCGCCAAGACAGGTCGCAGCAGGGCCCGCAAGATCTGGTAAATGAAAAATTGCACGTGGTCTTCGCCTGCACCCAAAACGATGAATCGGAACAGGCGGTCTGCCCAATGACTGGCGACTAGTTGTGGGATTTCAGTCCCTACCAACCTTAACCCCCATGGTAAAGCCTAAACTGATGCTACACTCGCTCCTTGTAGGTCTGGCTTTTATCGCCTCAAGATATACCCGAAGGCATAGACTCGCATAGGCGGTAAGTTTTGAATCTAGGTGTTGGGGCTTAAGACAGACGCATCGGTCATTTGTGTTGCCCAGCAAAAGGATGGCACAGTCCCCAGTTGACCAAGCTAGCACTTGAGCCCGCAAAAAACTCTCGCACGTGAAGGATCATGCATACTGAGTTGAGTGTCATGAAGCAGGGTGGCTGTAGTGAAACCGAAATTGGTCAGTTGGCCCCCAATCGATCATATGGCACCTATATCCCTACCTACTTACAACCCTGCTTGCAGCTCCTGAAAGAAACTACACCCAATTGCAGCGAATCTCCCAGCCACCTTTGGCTAAAATACCCTTACACGCCCGGCAAGGCACTGAGGGGCTGGTCAGAACAAATCACCGTGTGCAGATCTGCATCCATGAGCTCCGTCACCAGGTAAACCTCGGGCCCGGCTTGGGCCCAAAATACAACCAGTAACACCAACGTTAATAATAATAATGATGATGATAACAATAAACAATAATAACAATAGTACTAGTATTTAATAGTCGTCATGATACGAATGATAAGAGTCATGATGATAATACAAATAATAGCAATAGTTTCGGGCCGGGACTCTGAACCCTGAACCTATACAGATAATCTTCATTCTAGTGCCTTTTGGGGGTTACCTGATAGGATCCTAGATACAAAAGTGGTTAAACCAGATTGTATTCCTACAGGGGTTCGGACTTTAGCTGAAATCTCCAAAACACTTCAAGAAGGGCTTCGAGGGTTTTGCGGTCGAGGGCCGGGAGACCGAACCACACTGAGCTGCGATGCCCCGAAACAAACGATGTTCTCTAAGTTAGAATCCTTCCGGGTTCTTTCGATGTTCAGTTTGGGACTCATACTAGGGGCTTTGGCGGAGCATAGGCCTGCATGCGTTGAACATTCCGGTTGGGTGACGGGCCGTTGAGGGTAATTTGTGCAGCGGTGGCACTCAGAATTTGGAAGGACCCCTAAACCCTCAACCTGTTTTTGTAACAGGCTTTCAACCCTCAACCTAAACACACAATTCCGAATTTGGAGGCAGCAGTGAACTCGCCTCGGTGAACACAGTAGAAGGTGGCTCAAGGACCTGCCAGGAAGAAGACTCCGAAGTATTACTTGAACTCTACTGCTGTCTAGAGTGTAGGAATTGTAGCAAGAACTTCGACTTCAATTCCATTGTTATTCTTTCCCTCTGGCATTGTGAATTGGTTAGGATCCCGGAAGCCACCAACAGGGTAGCCCAACAAGGAAGTCTCGTGAAGATTATAGGCAAGCCTCTATACCTTGAGTCCCAAAAGCATACTGAACATAAACCATTTCTCAGCAGCCGGCTTCTCTCGCCCGGAACTTGAACCCTAGATCCGGAAGCTACTAAACCCTAAACCCTGAACCCTTTTTTGCCCTCCCCCAACTTCAGATCCTGAGCTGCCTGGTAGGGGGGATGTGTGTGTGTGTAAATCTTGCAGGTCTGGTTTCGCAGAAGGCCGGGTAACTCGAAGTTCTGGCCAACGGGCCGAACGTCTTGCACCGCGCATCGGGCTCAGGGTTTGGAGATCAGGTTTGGGTTCAGGATTGACACTATCAAAAATCATTAACTAGTTAACTAGTTAGTTAATGTAGGTATGTGTGTATGTATGTATATATATATACATACATACCGCATGAGTACGATGCTCAGCTCAATCAGCGCTGTTGTGTTGGGGTTGGGGTCTAGGGCTTATGGATGTTTCGGCGCTGGATTCTAGGGTTGGCCGGTCCGATAGCTATGTGATCGCTAAAGCTTGAGCATCCCAAAAACAACCTTGAAGGAAAAGGGAGGGAAGGCTACCTTGACAAGCTTGATGATGCACTCATGCTCCAGCATGCTCAACCTCAGCCGTTACGAATGGGAACAGCCTCACTCCCTTTCTGATTCTTCTGATCGTCACGCTAACTAAGTGCCCCAATCCTGGTTAAGTTGTCTGCTCCTGGTGTTGGCTTCACCTGGCCTAGCGCAGCATCGGGCTCGTTTGGCGAACTCACAGTTGTGACTTTGATTCATTCTTCAACTTTGGTTTCAATGCATGGATCACCCACTGGCAGATTATCTTTCCTCGAAGCACCAGGCTTAATACTTTATTAAGGTATCTAGATAGCAGTAATCAAACCGAGGCAATCACTACAGTTGCCCACCCAATCAGCTACAACCTAGCTGCAAAATCCTGCGAAGTTTAATTCTGTTTCGATAGGAGCAGTGCCTTGCGAGAGTGTGCTCTGATTTGTTCACTTGTCATTATTAGTTCGATTAAGCAGTAAGTTCAACAGGATCTGAATAAGGTTTCGGGGGTATGATGGTATAGCCATGATGAGGAACCCTAACGAGTATTACTGTATTACTAAGGTGCTATCCACGTAATCCCTTCCCCCTACTAATAAACGGTTGGGAGCCTCCACCCCATTAGGGAACTCGGAAAAGTGTTTGTGTTATTAGGGGGTCTTTTGATCTCTACTGCCACTTTTGAGGGGTCGTGCTCTTGCCCCTGCGCTATGTGTCTTTCGCCTGCTCCCGCGTTTGCTCCTGCTTTTGCTCTTACTCGCGCTCTTGCTTTTGGTTTGCTCTGGCTGCAGCTCTTGCTGCTGCTCACGCTTTTGCTCTTGCTTCTGCTCTTGCTCTAACTCCTGCTCTTGCTTGTGCTCTTGCCTTCTCGAAGATTCGAAACCCTCCGACAAAATTCAGAATAGGTTTTAAAGGGCGAGGATGATTGCGGGAGGATTCGCGCCAATGTGCTTCTAAATATTAGGGGGGGTGTGTAATAAACGGGGGAAGCGATTAGGCCCCCCGGCCTGCAGCTGCCCAAGCACACTTGTTTGGCTAAGTAGATTCCTGCTTGAACTTCCAAACCCGCAAGGGGTTTCGACTCACACAGTCGCACGAAGGCAGGTATGGCAGCGAAGGTCGAGGGGTTTAGGGGTTAGGGTGCTTTGTGGTGCATGGCCGTCAAGGCTGCCCTGTCGAGCCCCCTAGGCGCGGGCTAGACAGAACTGGGAACACGTCGTCTTCTTCGCGGCCGAATAGCTGGTGCCAACAAAAGTCTTTAAACCGTAGCCTTATATCCTAGACCCTAAACCTAGTCAAGACGCCCCTATACAACCCTAACTCCAAACAAGGCACAGCTTGATCTCTCTCAAGCATCGCTTGGCCTGGTCATTGTGGCGGCTTTCCGTTCAAGGTTTGCGCTTCAAGGCTTAATGTTGAGGGTTTACGGCTTGAGGCGCATTTCTTGTGGCGCAAGCTTTTTCGGGTGCTGAAATGCACTGCCAGCTTGAAGAACAGTGTGACCCTGGACATGATGAACCCTGACCCCTAGCCAGCAAAGGTCCGGAAGCACAATCTCCGCCCGCGCCTCGACTGTGTTTCTACATGGGTTCGGAATCTTTTTCACCGCAAACTCCTCGCGCGGGATGGGAATCTGGTCTAGGACTCAGGGGTTCCCAATGCAAGGTCTGCGGGTAACCAAAACTGGCGAGTTGTGGGGCATCAGGCATCGATGGAAGCTCCCAGTACGCAGTTTTCAACCCAGTCCTCCCCCGTTCGATCATCTCGGAAGGCGGAAACGGCTCCGTATGTACCCTTGCCTTAGAACTGTGCAGTCGCAATGCCGGGGACTGCACTGGGATACGCAGGCCCGATCGAGAGTCAAACTCAGAGGGGCTGCAACCGGTTGCATGATTCAATGATTGAGTAATGGGATGCAAAGCGGAAATTACAACAACAAACGTCGCACAAGGGGAGCAGGCTCCACAGATGTAGTGTTGGAGGCATTTCATAGCAAGGGCCTTTTATAAGACACGCTGTATAAGATGGAAGGGAAGTCTATGTCAGCTCGAGATATGCACTGAGCTAGGAAGTTCCCCCTCCAAAGCTGAACTAAGGGTAGAGGATAAGGCAAGGACCAGATGAGTAGGAAGGGCTAAGACAGAATTATCAAACCTGAGAAACTTAGATACAGGAATCACGTTACGGGTGATCAGAGATATCCTGATACAATGCGTCTGCAATAAAGGCAACAATAAAGCCAATAAGGGTAGCTTTTCTTGAGCCGCAGGTGCGATGATTGCGGAGATCCAAACAACAGAGCTAACAGGACAACCCCCGCGGCAAGACAGAATGAGGCCTGCAAAGCGCTCGTACATCAGTACGAGAAATATATTTGGTCTCAAACGTAGCAATGAAACAGCGATGTTGTTTGTCATTCAAGGCTTAATTTGCAGAACCTTCTCGAAACATTCCTAGTACCGTATCAGAAGGAACAACAGTTTCCACATTGCTGAGAGGTTGGGCGGGCATGTCTCGAATCGAACTCTACATTCTACATGTGCATGTGTATAGGTAGATAGATAGATAGGAATACACATATGAAATCAAACCTAGCATTTCTATTGGAAGGGGCTTTTGGGCACTTTCGGCAAGCCGTTTCTTTGCACAGTGCTCTCTCTCGGCCGGGAATTCACAGTCAATATCTTCAATAGACTTGGTCGTGCTGCCAGGCTGGATTCCGAAAGGAGTTTTTCGCATTGTTGAAGATAGACGGCCAAGCCCAACTTATTGCGTTCAGAAACCCTCGTTCCAGATTCGAGACTGTTTGTTGAGGACTTCAATTTGATTCGGGAATGTTCTCGGCAGGAGGCCGCGCGATCCAGACATGTTCTCGACGAAGGGTCTGTTTAGCCAACTTAATGTAGGGAGTCTAGATCCCCGCCCGAAAGAAATGGAGTGATGCTGCACAATTTCCTTGCATACCTTAGTCATTAGTCTGTTGAACCCGGAACAGCGTGTTCTCCAGGCTCCGGGAAGACCTTCTCGGTCGGTAGAGATGCTCCAAACGGTAAGGCCGGTAAGGTTACAGCGAGCTGTCTGACAGATGCTCGAGACATTCATTTTTGTTAGTCCTGAGTGTTTCTCTGCTCCTTCCAACAACTCTTCTAACCTACGGACATTGGCCGGCCACAGAAAGCCCACGAATTTTGAAGTGGTTCCCCGCGCACCGCCCGAAAAATGGCGGCCCAGAAGCCCAGGACTCGAATCAGCGAAAGGTGGTCAGGGACTCGAAACGTAGTACCGCCCGCCTGGCGGCGATGACGAGGAATAAGACATATGTTGATGTACACATTCATTTATGTACTCAGTTGCTCATGTATGTATTTATTCACATACACATGTACCTGTGTATATATGCATACAAAAATGTACATATGTATATATATATATATACATAGAATATACATGTGTATGTGCATGTCTATGTAAGAATCTTCAAGAATGTGTATATACATATATATATATGTACATGTATGTATATACATATATATACATGTGTGTGTACATATCATCGACACAGATACATATACATATACATGTGGTACATACCTATTTATAACATATATATATATATGTACATGTACATATATATATATACATAGACGCATACAAATACTTCTGCATGTACGTGTCTGTCTAACTTACTGCATCATTATAACAATATGTCCCGAAAATATCTGTGCGTGGTCATCTGTGTTCGGATGATTGCCATGCCCCGGACATCACCAGAACACAGAATCCGACCGGAAGATTCGCCACTGCCTCATGATTGAACCCTTTCACCGGCCGAGCCTTGTGCTCTGCTATCCTTGGATGCAGCAGGAATTCCCTCAACATGATGTTACCGGAAACACGGAATGTATCCGCTTGCTGGCTGCTGTGCTTGAGATGCGCCCAGGTGAACATGAAGTACGTCCAGACACAGTGACCGGGAGCACTTTGGCTCTGGGATGCTTTCGGGCTTGAAAGACCCCTTGCAGTTTGACACCTTCATTTGAGATTTGAGAAGCCTAGTCGTGTGGGATCTGTTGGGTTCAGGCTTAAAGAAGCCCAGGATTTTCATCTCAGGTCTTGCGAGCCCTGGATCTGATCGTAGAGACGTGAGAACATCGACGTACTTCACAGCTTCACTACAAGTAGCTTTGTCTGGAAGCTCGCCGCTCGTCACGAAAGCCTCCTTGATTCAATCGTAGCGATCTCCACATGAAGGCCCAGAATGCCCAAGCTTTTCCCCAAAGCCTTTGACTCAAACCTCACCCAATCCTTATCGGACTGACTCAACTTCTGGCCCCCTAAACCCTAAGCCCTAAACCCTAAACAGGTAAGAGTCCCAGGAGGCAAGGCTTCCTCTGCCGGAGTCGACTCCGCCGCCGAGGGGTCGTCGTTCCAGGGTGGGTGGCAGGCCATGGCTCAACTGGGTTCTTAGTAAGGAATGGGGGTTCCTTTAAGGGATCTATAGGGTTTAGGGTTTAGGGTTTTAGGGCTTTAGGGTTTTTAGGGTTTAGGGTTTTTTAGGGCTGGTTCTTAGTAAGGAATGGGGGAATGGGTTATTGGGACTACTATAGGGGGCCTTAAGGGAGTATCATAGGGATCCATTCCCCCATTCCCTACTAAGAACCAGGGAGTAAAGGGACCCGCAGGGATTCGACCCTGTGTTAGCCCTAAACCCTAAACCCTCCAGACCTA